CATGTACTCCATTCTTGTTTAATGTTTTCCTTATTGTAGATGTGTCAACAAAAATGTTAGTATGTGCCAGAGATTTCTGTAGGTCTTTAGCTGACACTCTGGGATTCTTCTTTACCTCATGCAGCATTCTGCGCTGTGCTCTTGCAGTCATTTTTACAGGACGACCACGTCTAGGGAGAGTAGCAACAGTGCTGAACTTTCTCCATTTGTAGACAGTCTGTCTTACCGTGGACACATGAACATCAAGGCTTTTGGAGATACTTTTGTAACCCTTTCCAGCTTCTTGCAAGTCAACAATTCTTGATCGTAGGTCTTCTGAGAGCTCTTTTCTGCGAGGCATGGTTCACATCAGACAGTGCTTCTTGAAACCGGTAAACCCAAAACAGGTGTGTGTTTTTTAAGGGCAGGACAGCTGTCAGCAACACATCCAATATCATCACACTGATTGGAGTCAAGGTTGGCTCACTCCTGGCTCCAATTAGCTCTGGGAGAAGTCATTAAGCTAGGGCTTCACATACTTTTTCATCCATGCACTGTGAATGTTTACATGTTATGTGTAATTAAACCATGGCAACATCTAATGTTTGTGTAGTATTATGTTCAGCAGACTGTGTTCTTCTATTGTTGTGACTTAGATGACGTTCAGAGCACATTTTATGACCAATTCATGCAAAACTCCACGTAATCCCAAGGGGTTCACATACTTTTTCTTGCAACTGTATACCTGTAGAGTCCACAAGGAGATCACCCAAAGAAGCTTCCAGAGTTGCTATTTTTGTGTAGGCCATGTCCGCCTGCATTATAGTGGGATAAAATCATGTTGCAGGGTCTGATTGACAAGCCTATAACATTTAAACACAAGAGAAATTAAAAAAATAACAACAACAAAAGGCACACACACAAAAAAACGGGCAGACTCAATGGACCACTCAATCTTTTTTCTGCAGTCACTTTTCAATGTTTCTATGTTTTCATTCAGCACCTGGCCACACCCAGCCTTGCCTGCTGCTTTCAGGATTGACATCTAGGAGGAAGAGTAACATCACATCATAACTGCATTTGCTATTTGCTTAGACTGTCACACAGGAAAGTTTAGGCCTCGTGCACACAGGACATTTTGCCAAATTTCCTAGAAGCCTTTCCTCCTGGCAGCAGCCTTTTGGCAGAAAAAACGATTGACACTTGTAAAAGCGTGTAACACACTTAGTCCCGTTTATGCATGTCAAGCGCTTGAGTGTTAATTTATGTAATTGACCAGAATAATAATTTATTCCAGCCATTGAATTGAATGAACACTCATGAGCTGAACGTGCCTGGCATTGAGGTGTGTTTTGATGTTTTTACACATGTTTACAGGTGTCAAGTGTTTTTTTCTGCTAAAACACCCACTGCACCTGAATGCACTGGCAGTGGTTTTTTTCCTGCCTCTATACTCCCCGAAATCCCTAAGTGTGCACATGTAGGGGCATTTAGAGACAGGAAAAAAAAAAACCACCAGACGCTCCAAGGAGCAGCATTAAAAACATCCAGTGTGCATGAGGACTTATGCAGGCCATAGATGGGTCAAAAATCGGCCATTTTTTTCCTATTTTACCGATAAAAAAATGTGCCAAAATCCAGAAAAACGGCCGACCAATTAACCTATAAACTGTGCAAAAAACAGCCGATTTTCGACCCATCTATGGCCTGCATATTTTTTTTATCGGTAAAGTAGGAAAAAATTGGCCGATTTTGGCTATCGGCCGATTTTCGCGGCAATGATGGGCAAATCGGCTGATCTTTTTACCGATAAAAAATCTGCGCATGAGCCATGACCTGCAAGAAAAAGAAGAAAAAGAAAAAGAAGAAAAAGAATAAGAATTCCAGTCCGCTATTATATTTAATATGAAAAAGTATTGCGGTTGCAACAATGTATTGATTTGTATCCGAATAAAAACATCTGTATCCGAAATGAATACAAATAGATACAATGTTGTAACCGCTATACTTTATCATGTCAAATATAATAGCGGAGCTCTCTGCAGGGACAGAAGTAATTAAATGCCGGCCGTAGACAGGACGAAAATCGGCCGATTTTTTTTTTACCGTTGGTGGTAACGTAACGTCGGCCTATTGAACGACCGATTTTTGCCGGTTTTCGACCCATCTATGGCCTGCATTAGTTGTACTGTACGTGACAAAGTTCATATCACATGCTGGTGTGTCATAAGGCTCCATGCACACTGGGCATTCAAAATAAAAAAAAGTGGTAATACCTACCTCCTCTGTGCAACAAAATTGCACAGAAAGGCCATCTTCCTCCTTTTTCGGCAGTACCCCACTGGTGCTGTCAGCATCTCCCTCCATTGGGTTCCTTCTGCAGTAAGGCAGGTGCTAAGGAGGCAGCAGTGCATGCATCTCCCTGAGCCTGGTTGTGTGCAATCATGGACACCACAAGAATTTGACTGAAAACACCAAGAGGCTATGTCTCCACAGCTCTCCTGTGAAAGCAGGAAGTGAAGGGAGAGGTGGTAGAGCCAGGTCATTTTTTGGGGCAGGGTGATTAGGACAAGTGCTGGGCCTTTTTTTTTTTACCCTAAGCCTGGGTTCACACTGATGAGGTGCGGTCTCTGTGAAAATTCCGCACCGTATCACAATCACACCCCATTCATGCAAACCACTGCGAGTGTGTATGTTAAGTTAACAACACCCCGAAATCGGTCTGCAAAACGCGGTGCAATGTGCAGAATCAGATTGCATGGGTGAATACCCATGCAATCCTATTCTAGTGCAGACCAAAAAAAGGGTCCTGCACCTTTCTGGTGTGGATGCAGTGCGATTTGAGCCATACAAAATGTATGGTTCAAATCACACTGCGCAGCATTCGCATGTGATTTCCAGAGGAATGCGATGTGGTTTGTGTGCAAATCACATGCGATATGCCGCACCGCACATGTGTGAACACAGGCTAATGCAGCAAGATAAAAAAAAAATGTAGTCTTTAGAACCACTTTCCTGCCGCCCAATAGCAGAAGTACTGCTACAGGGCGGCAGGGCTGTGCAAAATCACACACACACATATATATATATATATATATATATATATATATATATATATATATATATATGTGTGTGTCATTTGCATTTTTGAGTAGGGGGTGCATGCACCACCCTTTCCGTTTCTCTATTGGTGGCTAGGGGTGTCAATCACCAGGTCCTGGATAGCGATTCCTGGCCAGCACTCAGCGAGCGTCTGGTAATTTGACAGGGGAGAGACCTGTGTGTAAACAACACAGGTCTCTCCCCTGTCAGCATGGAGTGCTGCTTTGTATCTTTCTGCACAGCAGAGAGTTAAAAAGCAGCATGTCTCCCTAGTAAAACATAGCACACACTAAAACACAAACAGCACACAGTTAACCCTTTAATCGCCCCCCCAGATGTTAACCCCTTCCAGTGTCATTAGTACAGTGTCAGTGCTTTTATTAACATTGATCACTGTATTAGTGTCACTAGGGATGTCAGTGGCAGTTAGTCAGTTTTCACCCAGTGTACAAATGCCCAATGTAGTCCTGCTATAAGCCGCTGATCGCTGCCATTACTAGAATTTAAAAAAAACTAAATCCAGTATATATACCGCCATTTGTAGATGCTATAACTTTTAACGTAAACCAATTCGTTTACATGTATTGGGATTTTTTTTTTAGCAAAGACTTAGCAGAATACATTTTTCCTAAACTTATGACAAAATTTGATTTTAAAATATTTTTATTGGATATGTTTTATAGCAAAAAGTCAAATATTGTTGTTTTTTTTTTCAAAATTGTCAGTCTTTTTTTTATATAGCTCAAAAAAAAATCAAAAATGCAGAGGTGATCAAATACCACCAAAAGAAAGCTCTATTTGTGGGAAAAAATGACATACATTTTGTTTATGTACAGCTTTGCATGACCGCGTAATTGTCAGTTAAAGTAAAGCAGCGCCGCATCACAAAAAATGGCCTGATCAGGAAGGTGGGGGGAGGGATCCTCTGGAGGGCAAGTGGTTAAGCACTATATAGATCATCTCTTCATTTATTTTGTGCAGGAAAAAAGAAAGGAGGACTAAAAGTCACCCCTACTTTGTTTTAGAATGCTTTATTGAGATAGGATGGACAGGAATGTTTACTCTTCCTGAGCCCCCTGAATGATATAGATCTAGAGCATGATTCAGTCTACCAGAAGCCAGGAAAATGGAAATATCAAGGCTGACTTATTAATACATTGTAAAATATAACACAGTATGCCTGGTACTCCCAAAATCAGGTAGTGGCAAAATAATGTTCATTGTGATCATCAATATATGTGATTATACCCTAATGAGGCGGATATGGAATGTGTGACAAACACACTGGTCTGAATTATAGGGTTGATTTACTTATGTTGTGCTCTCTGCCATCTACTGCCTACACTGATATATTATGCATATAATCAATAAAGCAGCCAAGGTGAATCATAGGAGTTTTCCATCTTATTATTTTGGGAAAGTGGCGAACACTAGGCAAATGTCCAACTGCTGAATGATTTCATTAAGGGGAAATTATCACCTTGTTGTGCTGATTAAATAACAGAAGAAACATTTATAAATGGGATGAATAGGAGAGCTTTATCAAATGCTTAGTGTATTTTTTCAGGATGAATGAATGTATGAGCAAAGCACAGCCAATTAACAACAGATTTTTGCCGTATGCTGGATTTAATAAATTGAGATTGACAATCCTTTGGAAGCCAGAAACAAAAGCATCACTAATAGGGCAATCATCAGTCATTTCAAAAGGACAATCACCAGTCATTTTTAATTTTTCATTCACCTTAGTTTGGCCATGCAGGCTTTAAAGTAAAAACAGATTTGCACCATATCAAACAGCTGACCATCATATCTACAATATATGGACAGGAGTATGTGGGCACCCCTCCAAATGAGTAAGTTCAAGTGTTTTCAGTGTAAGGTTACTGTTATAGAAGAATTCCAAGATGTGATATGACAAAGTGTTACTAAACCCAGGACCCTGCATCCACTATATCTGGTCTCCCAGGACCCTGCATCCACTATATCTGGTCTCCCAGGACCCTGCATCCACTATATCTGGTCTCCCAGGACCCTGCATTCACAATATCTGGTCTCCCAGGACCCTCCATCCACAATATCTGGTCTCCCAGGACCCTGCATTCACTATATCTGGTCTCCCAGGACCCTGCATTCACTATATCTGGTCTCCCAGGACCCTGCATTCACTTTATCTGGTCTCCCCGGACCCTGCATCCACTTTATCTGGTCTCTCCCCTGCATCCACTATATCTGGTCTCCAGGACCCTGCATCCACTATATCTGCTCTCCCAGGACCCTGCATCCACTATATCTGCTCTCCCAGGACCCTGCATCCACTATATCTGGTCTCCCAGGACCCTGCATTCACTATATCTGGTCTCCCCGGACCCTGCATCCACTATATCTGGTCTCCCACAGTACACAGAACATGAAAATGCAAATATTTTACTAAATATAAACTGCTAAATACCTTTTCTCATCAGCAGTTAGAGCAGTCAAAGCCCACTTTGTCATCCATTCCACAATGTAAAGTGGCCGCCATATTACTGGAAGAGGTATAAGTGCCAGCTATCTCCAGGAAATATATGAAAAATATTTTTAAAAATACATTTCAAATATACTGTGTCTTTAAAAATACAAATCTACATTTTTGGAATGCATTTACAAATATATGTAAAAATATATGTTAAAATGACTCTTTTATATGTTAAAAAAATCTAAAGAATATATTTAAAAATATATATTTTAAAAAAATATATTTTTTTTTAAATATATTCTTCAGATTTTTTTTAACACAGAAAAGTCATTTTAACATATATTTTTATGTATATTTGTAAACGCATTCCAAAAATGTTGATTTGTATTTTTAAAGACACAGTATATTTGAAATTTATTTTTTAAATTTTTTTTTATATATATTATGTAATAAAAAATGCATTTCAACCTGCAGTATATATATATATATATATATATATATATATATATATATACACATACACACATACATACACACACACATATATATATATATATATATATATATATATTTTTTTTTTTTTTTTTTTATTATTTTTTAATTTAAATATATTTAATATGGCCAAAGCTGTAGTATTTCAAATATATGGTAATATATTTGGGAAGAATATTTTTAAAATATATTTCAAATATATTTTTCTTCCATATGGGTATGTCTTTACTTTAGAGTGTGCATGGCCAAACTAAGGCGAATGAAGGATTCACTATTTAAAGTTATATTAATCCTGAAATTCTACTTTAATGCTAAACCAGACATTTTAGACAAATGTGTATTTCTACACTTGTGACAACATTTTAGAGTAAGCCCTTTATTGTCTGAGCATGACTGTGTCCTTGTGTACAAAGCCAGGTACAAATTTGGTGTAAAGGAACTCAATTATCATGCAGAGAGCCCTGACCCTAATGCTAGTGGTATACAAATGGCATACGGCGCAAACCAGAAGTAAAAAACAGTATGGGATGCAAATAATTAGCAATAGAGCAATGTTAAGTCCATTTTGTCCATATCATAAAAAGTCCATGCAAAATAATAAAGTCCATAAAAAGCACCTATGGGCAGCTCTGCCAGGAGACTGGAGTATATCTCTGCAGAAATTAAAAGGAACACAAGCGAGTGCCTCTAAGTGGAGTATTAAAATCATTTAATGAACCATAAATATAGCACTCAAAGGTTTGACAAAGCAGCTTATGGTGCTCCAAAATGCGTTACCTAGGCTATGGACTCACCTTCCTTGACCCACTTCTGGTCGTGCGGCCCACTGAGTTTTTTGATCTCACTTCCGGTTCAGTGTTCCTTCACAACCATAGGAGTTGGTGCTTTCCGTAGAGCAAAGATGTCAAATATAATAACACCCACATGTATGAAGAAGAAAACACTGTAAAGTGTGGGGACCACAGCGACTGATCAGATGGTATGTATGTAGCGGCATCCAGGACCAGATGGAGCCAAGAGACAAGCCGGACATCTGTGCTCCATGGAAAGCACCGACTTCTATGGTTGTGAAGGAACACTGAACTGAAAGTGACACAGAAAAACACTGTGGACCGTACAACTAGAGGTTGCGTCAAGGAAGGTGGGTCCGTAGACTACGTAACATGTTTCGGAGCACCAATCAGCTCCTTTGTCAAACCTTTGAGTGCAATATTTATGGTTCATTAAATTATTTTAATACTGCACTTAGAGGCGCCCCCTTGTGTTCCTTTTCCTTAATGCTAGTGAGCATCTCTGCACTGTTTTTAACTTGCGACAGCAGGTGCGGAGAAAGGATCCCCCACCCGCTCTCACAGGGGAAGGGTGATGGGGGTGCGGGCATGCACTTTATAGTAACATGTTACTACAGTATAGGGAAGGAAGGCCAAATGTTTAATTTGTATATGTTCAGGGGTCATGTATGCATAACATATTGACAATGCAGTATTTAAAGGAGGCTAAGTTTTTAAAATGTATATCTGAGGGGTCGTTTAGACTGTGTGTTTCTTAATTGGACACCAGCCTGCATGCCGATTGCATGGGCTTGGTGTAATGTGTTTATTTACTATACTTCAAAGTTCTGAAATTTTATTTAACTTATGATTCCCATATTATACAGTATAATGCACAATTATCACATTTTCTGGTTGCACAGAAAGGAGATGTTAGACTTCAATCTTTATGGCAGAATATGGCATAGTATTATTAATTTTGGGTCTTTTTTTGTTGGTACTCATTCTGCAAGGCATGAAGCATCAGTGTTTGATCACAATGCATGGCAGAACAACAGCCAAGACCATTACTTTTACTTGTGGATTCATTATTCATAACTCAGCACAATTATGAGTTTTTGAAGATTCTGATCACCCAAATCAGGGGTCTCCAAACTTTCAAACCAAATGGCCAAGTTTACTGTTCTTCAAACTTTAAGGAGTCCCAAGTGTTGCCAGTGGGAGTAAAAAATGCTCTGGCATCATTGGTGTCAGCGAAAGAAATATTGCCCCATTGTTGGTGTCAGTGAGAGGAAGAGTGCCTTATTGTTGGCGTTAGTGGGAGGAAAAAGGTCCGCATCCAGTTCCCAGGCCTCAGTTTGGATACCACTGACCTTACTTGTGCTAATTAGGCAAGGTAGAGCAGCCAGACCCTCTCAGCCAATTGGACAGGTTAACAGGGTGGAAACGCATCTCTAAAGTATAAAGTTAAGATCCACAATCATATCTTGGTCATATCTGAAGGATCCCATCTATTGGGGGGTATGATCCACGTGTTTCAACCAAACCCGAGAGCAGGAAGAAAACTTTTTCTATAAGTTATTCTTTTTATTTTTGCTACTATTTGCTCATGTATGTCCTACTTTATTATATACTGTACGCTTTATACATTTAAGAATTTACAACTTTCTTTGCACTGCACGCCTAGATAATAAATATAACATTCATATACTTTTTTGAGTGCTTCAAACAACACACAAATCTTAACACAAAATGTGAGTGTGTGTTTTGCACTAACTCAATGAGGGATATTGAATGGTTTAGCTAACCTACACCTGCAGCGTGCATTACACAAAGAGCAGTGTACAGGTCTACAAAAGCCTGTGGGCCAGTCTGCTTGAGCACAGACTGAACTGACTAGAGGTATCAATATCAGGGTTCCTCATAAGCCTGTCAATTGTGAGTGGTGGCAGCTTCGATATTACAGTATGCTTGTTTTTATGGCTTTTTCCTGTGGAATTTTGGGTTCTTGTGAAAAGTTAATAGAACGCTGGTCCATTTTCTAGGACGAACGATGAACAACAATACCTTGCACATTATTTGGTCTCCCTCCCCTCCCTGCACTCTCAGTACCCTGATCTATAACAACTGGTGCCAAAAACTAACGTATATCCCCGTAATCATTATTTAATTTAGCAAATTGCAATAAACCATAATAGACAATCAGAAGTCGTTCTTTAATCAAGAAAATATTTTTGGGCTATTGGATGTTGCTTCACTTTTTACTCTGTGTTGTCTTTAGTAGTTTTGCTGTTGTGTTTATGAAGACTGTGGTTCTCCTTTAGTAACTGTTAAACTAAATAATACGGGCAGCATGAACAGTTTTCCTGACCTCTGTTTTCTGACTTCTGTATAATTAGAACTTTAAATCTGCATTTGAAAAGCTGAGAGTCATTTGCATATAATTAAATGGCACAAAAATGACATATAAAAAGTGCATGTGAATCTGTAATCTGACATGAAATGAATTAGTATATTGCATTTGATTGATGAAAAGTACCATTTTCCCTGAAATTTTATACTTATGCGTATAATTTATAGAAAACGCTGAGAAAAGCTTAGTTAAGATTATTTTTTTTTTTTTTTGAAGAAATATTCTTAAGATGTCACCAAAATATATAGAAAGATAGTTAGGAAGACAGATAACTGATTTCCATTCAGTCTCTAATGTTTTACGTAATAGTCTAATAAGTCCACAATTATCTGCATCACTAACTCACCTCTTTAATAGCAAACTCTGATCTTGTCTTTGCCCTCTTCACTGAAGTGTTAAATACAAGAGCTTTTTAGTCCATTTATTTCCATTATCTGGTCACTTAAAATTATGCCAAATAACCTTCTGCTCTAGTATCTTTCATACTTAGGAAATTTAAGGGTTATGTATACATTCACCAATTCAATAAACTGGTCAAACTTGCTACTGCAAATTTAAAGCGAACTTAAAGTGTCGTTAAATCCCAACATTTTTTTGTTTATGTTTCCTTAAAATTATGATCTCTGCCTGTGTGCTAAAGCTATCCATCATTCAGCTATTTATTAGTAGAATGTTGTATTCAATACCTGGTTGATTCTGCTGTCTCTTGCTACTTCCCTACTGTGTGTGGCAGTGATATTGCAGCCAATCCTCTGGATGTTGCTTTGCCACTCTCAATGCGCATTCTTTGAATCTTGCCTGTTAGGAAGCCATTCACATCATCATTTGACCTCTAGAACCTGCCCCCTGACTCATCAACTTGAGGAGCAGCTCCAGCAGCTTGGGTAGCACCCTCTCCTCTTCGCCCCATGTGATCAGCTGTGTAGGCTTTTGGGGCAGCTACAGCACAAATGATTGATAGAAACTTATTCTCCTCTGCTAGCTTCCCCATGATACACATGCATAGGCTTGCAAGGTGGGCAACTGTGAGACCATCATTTGGCAGAAATATAAAGAATTGCTTTAATTTGATTAGCGGTTATGTTTTATACTACAAATAGTGCTTTACATAACAATATCTACTCTTTCATTTTATTTTGATGCAAGGTTTTTTATCACACATTACCGGAACAGCACCCAATTGGCTCTGTGCAGCCCCAGGATTACCTAATCAACTTTCTGCAGTGATGTCAGCAGATTACATAAGAGGTTTCCAGCTTGCTCTGACCCCCCCCCCCCCCCCCCCCCGTACTGCAGAACAAGCAGAAAATGCCATATTTATTTTATATAGCACTGTCAATTTATGCAGTGCTTTACATTTATATTGTCCATTCACACCAGTCCCTAACCCTCAAGGTGCATACAATCTAAGGTCCCTAACTCACATTCATACATACACATATTAGGGCCAATTTAGACAAGAGCCAATTAACCTACCAGCATGTCTTTGTAGTGTGGGAGGAAACCGGAGTACCCGGAAGAAGCCCATGCAGGCACAGGTTGGTGCCCTGGTTGGGATTCGAACCAACGACCCTAATACTGCCAGGCAGAAGTGCTAGCCATTTAGCCACTGTCCTGCCCATGACCACAAAATACAGCAAAGAAAAAAAGTGTTGGTGGAATCAGAATTTGCATAAGCGCAATATACTGTTGCTTACATGTAATAAGGGATGGTTTATATGAAATACTGAAAATGGGTTTAATGATATTTTAATAGAAAATTCTAGTTAAAAACAAATATAAATTATATACAGTAATTACTGAAAGAATAGTTATTTCATTGTGCCTGCTTTTTCTACACTGGTGCAAGGTTCAAAAGTGAAAAATGTTTAAACAGAACATATCATGATTAGACATATGTGTTTCATTTTGTTTTGATTCACTTTTTGGATTAAAATTTAATTTTTGGAGATTCAGATGTATACAAATTTTTGAATCAACACAGAAACGAATGTAAATGAAATTTATCGGCACAATAAGAGGCAATTTCATAAAATCATATTTTTTTTATTACGAAACAGTATAGAAATTAGTATAAAAAGAACAGCAACACTCTACACACCACTGAAGTCCATACCTATTTTTTAACTATCCACCATTTATATGTACTGTTAATGATAATATCAAGTTGATATATGACATGTTTATGTTATCTTTGTACCTTACATTTTACAGCAACACTCACCCAACCAGTCCTGAAGAAGCTAGAATCTTCACGAAACTCGCTGAGTTTTGAGTTAAAAGAACCTGTGGACACTGATATAGCAGAATTATGCTTATACTGTACAATGTGGATATTGTTCAGATTATGGATATGGTACTGAGATACATGGATGGATGATACACTCACTACAGTGTCCCCCATTGCTTCATTGGGGTTGTGTGGTATTAAGTATCAGACTTCAGTGGCCTGGGGTGTTGCTTTTCTTGTTATACCGATTTTATGTTATCTTTGTACCTTACATTTTAGAGCAACACTCACCCAACCAGTCCTGAGGAATTGAGAATCTTCATGAAACTCATTGACTTTTGTAATAAAAAATACATGATATTATGATATCATAATATGTTGTGCTGATAAAGTCTGCCTTTTTGGTAACAATCTTTTGTTACCAACATTTTGTGTATGATACGATAGTAAGTTGGGCCCATTGGAAAATGAATTCAATTTACAAAATTGTTTGATAATTCGGATTCAAATAACGAATGGATCAGAATTTTGTTCAATTAGTTAAATTGTATGCACATGACACCAGTCAATATTGTCCAAACTGGTCCTGCCATTTCTCTTGGTGGGTTGGACTTGCATTAAAAAATATTGAATCTTTATGATTCGGATTGGTCTATAAAATGCATATATAGCAAACATCTGGACAAAAATGCAACATTTATTGAACCCACCCCCAGACCAACAAAAATACAAAACAAATGCCAGAGATATAATAATGAATTTTAAAAACAAATCAGTTCAACATATTGAATTTGAAAAAATTAAATTCTTCTATGAATGAATGCATCTGAAACAAAACAAAAATTTCCAGCATGCACATGTCTATTTTCAACTTGCAAAAATAAAACCTGTACAACTGCCAGCATGAAAAGGTGTGAAATAAAAAAAAAAACCAAACCAATTAGAAGGCTCAGATAAAGAATTATGTTTATTATTCAGTAAAAAAAAAATGCATCAAATGCCTTCAAAAGATCCCCCTTCATTGGGGCTGTGTTTTCCTAAATTTTGAGTCATGTGGACACAACAGTTGCTGGACAGTATGATGTGAGCTCTGCACTCTACTTACCAGTCAAGCCATTTTTTCTCCAGATTACAACCTGAAATCTTTAAAACTCCAGAAACCGGTTGATTCCTTTTATACACATTTTGTTAATTATCACATTCACTTCCTTATTTGGATCTAGAGATTGATTTGACACTTGTTATTTCCTCACCTATACTGTAAATTATCCACTCAAGCTGCCATTTATTTGTTCTCCAGGATATAAGAGCATCCTTTCCAGAAGATCAATGTCACAAGAAACATTCGTTTTCATCCAGTCTCTTGAGATCTAGCACTGGCCAATGTATTTTTGGTACCCCGGTGAAAACAGGCAGCTGTGCCTATAAACATGCCAGAAATGTATCTTATTATAGTGAACTGCGCCTTGCCCGTGCAGAACAAAACAACAGTCTACATATCTGCCACCATCTTCACCAGTACAACTCATGTTTCCTTTTTTCCACCCTGTGCTTTAAGAAATACGCAGTACTTCCAGGAACGTGGAGTATGTGACTCCAAAAATTAAAAAAAAAAAAAGGAATACCAGAGATTTTTGAGATATAACATACGTTTAAATGCACCTGAATTTCACTCTGCTATTACAAGCTGGTTTTCTACAGAATAACATTTATTATCATCCAAAATAAATGCTACATTTACATAGTTAAAGATATCTGAGATAATTGCAGAGATACCTGTTTCCTACATACTTTTATGTCTCATTCACACAGCCAAATCAGCCGCAGTGCAGCACATATCTTGCTAAAAATGATTTCTGGGAGCCTAGGTGTGTGCAGATAGCTATGGCTGGGAAGACTGTACAAAGCAATGAAAGCTGAAGCCATCAGCAGCCTGTCATTGCTTTGTACAGTTTTCCCAGCCATGATTGGCAACATACATGGAACAGTTTTTTACTTGATGCACCACAGCTGATTTTGACATGTAAATTAGATCTTTTTTCCTCTCATGCAGGAATACTAACAAATGTTAAAGTGTTACTAAACCCAGGACCCTGCATTCACGATATCTGGTCTCCCACAGTACACACAACATGGGAATTCAATTATTTTAGTAAATATAAACTGGTAAATACCTTTTCTCATCAGCAGTATATAGTGGTCTTGTGACTTCTATCAGTGTCCGGCTGAGTACTGGTTAAAGCTTGTAGGAAGAGTTTTCATTCTCCTCGGACTGTCCTATGAGGCTGCATGACAACTGTGTTTGAACAGTGCTGATCGGTGCTGGTCACAACCCCCCCCCCCCCCCCCCCCCATAAAAAAAAACTACTCTCTAGCAACACACACCAAACTGAACATCTGCAGAGTGTCTCTTAGGGCACTGTACTATCAGCAAATGGATTGGGGACTGTGGAAGAAGGGGAAGATCAGAGGAGACAGGATCAAACAGCTTTATTATATAATGCAGTGGATTAACCCCTTAGGCTTCACAATGAGTATAACAAGCATGCTTTACTGCATCTACAGACTGATTGTACTGTTGTGGGTTTAGTAACACTTTAAGTTTCCTATTAAACTTAAATGGCCATATTTACAGTATAAAGCAGTGAACGGGATATTCACCAAACGTTCACTGCAGAAGAATCCTTTGCTGTAATTTAAAACATGTGCACCTGGAAGATTCACCTGCAATAAATGTAACATGTATAAATAAAACACGTGTATGTAAAGCCCAACTTGTTTTTTAATTTCTAATAAAGTGGTAAGGGAGTAGAGCCTATGTCCCTGCTTGAGAGACTCATTCTATTTCTCCTGGCGACTACTTTCAATGGTACAGGAAGTAAAGCAAAATAACAAAATTCTGTGTTGTCACTAGAGTAGGAATAGCAGGGAAATATTCCCATGGGGCATTTGTTTCAGTGAGGGGATTTCACTTGGTTTGGAGAGATTTCCTCTGACTTCCTGTTGTGTCTACAGGGCAGGAAAAAAAAGGAAATCTCCCCAATGTGAGACAATGGCAAAAAATACAGGGGTTTTAGCCATTCTCAATCCATTCCAAAACGAGAAAGAAAGTTTGGGCTTTAGATATTCTTTAAACTGTCAGCTAGCATAAAACAATACAGAAAAGCAGAATCATATTCTGAAAGATTTTAGTTGCATTTTAAAAAGGAAGAAATAGCAAGGCTAATTAAGTTTAATTTATTATCCAGAAAGAAATGACTGAGAAAAATTAAAAACCTAGAACAAACACTTGCTTACTAACTCTATGTGACAGTCCTGGGTACCTGAGCTGCCAATTAAAACACAGCATTGGAAGAAGGGGAGTGAGCCACGTGTATCATACCCTGAAGTACAAGGCATTTCTCTTTACTCTCTTCTGTTGTACAAACCAACAAGGAGGCAAAGCGAAGCTGAGAATTTTTTCCAGTGGGATCCACAATAAATTAAACCTGTTGTTTTTACAGTCAAAATTAAATACTGGCAAACATAGGTTCCTACGAACATGGTTTATTAGCACATCAAGAATCAGAGAAAACAAGAATGGTTAAAGCTTGGGGACTTACCTAGAGATGGATAGCCCATGACCATCAACTGAGAGATCAGCACTAAATATAAGGTTTGAGTGGCTGTTTATTTATTTTTTTTGCTTTTTGTTTTTTTTTTGCTTGTGTTGCTAAATCTTTGGCACTGGCAAACCACAGGTTCCCTTAAACCTAAATCTTCCTGCTAACATAAGTTGTTTTACACCCCCTGCTATCATAAATCTTATACACAAGTTCTAATAATGTGGCTAATATCAAGGTGAAGCTGGTAACAAAGCAAAGGCACTGACTGATTGACTCTTGCTGAATGCCACCCTTTCACAATGGCATTGTGACTTGCCACTATGGCTGTGTTTTAGTAAAAGAGGCTGAGAGGAGTTCAGAATTGTTGTTACGAAAGTATTGGAAAGCCTGGCCTAATATATTAGTGGTAGGAAAATGAGGGCCAGACTATGGACATTAAACTATTTCTATACTCTTAACAAGCAGTGAAATAGCTTTAAAAAAAACTCACTCATCTCCATAGCTACTTCTATGGTGAAGTAATTAATAGGTCACACAAAAGACTCTGAAGTTCAGTTTCAGTCAGTTTCAAACAGCTTAGAATCATCTGCTGTTTGTTACCATTAGAGGGCTGGCAAGCTGCCAAGATCTGCTGTCATCAGAAAAAAATGCTAAAATATATGTGTCTCTGTTGTGAATTTTGAAAATGAATTTCACTACAGTGCCTATAGCTACAGTGCCGAAAAGGGCTTGTTTTAAAATTCTTTTTTTTTTTTTTTTTGCTTGTTCAGAATATATGCTTTAGTGTGTATATTCTGGATACAGGTTCATTTTATGTTGGTTTAGAAATTAGGACTTAACAAAAGAGTGACCAATAAATAAAAAATATCCATAGCAATTGTAAACAGATTACTCTTAGTTCCACTAATCTGTAATATAAATAAAAAAGCAACATATTATAATTTTAACTATGAGCATATTTGATGAATTGGACAATGGATTTCAAAATACACAAGTTACTTGGTGTTGATAAAAAAAGTTCAAACATGAACAAAATATACTATTTTTCCTGGTTCAGATGTTGTAGCATTGTCAAAATGAATATAATGCCCAGACTGCTTTATCTTTTTCAGGCTTTTCCAATCCATGTGCCAGGTTCATTTGTTGTTAATTTTGTTTGGGCACGGAAACCTCTTCAGCTGTCCCTAAAGCTGCTACGATTGCCAATACTGCAGGAGAGAATGGTCTTACCCAAGTTGAACTTGTATCATATTGCCTGCCATTTGACCAGAGTGTTGGACTGGTGCCAGCATGGTACTTTGAAGCAATAGGTACAGGTGGAATGGGCCTTATTCGGGATGCCACAGAGTTCACTACCCTGGTGCCATACAGATCTACCCACCACGACCCTCACACATCCCACTGTGGGAATGACCTGGATTATTTGCCGCAAACTCTTCAAAACCTCAACAATTTCACTGGTGCCCTCCCCATTGACCCCCGATAGTGGGGAATCCGGCCTTCTTCAGCCTGAGTCTACAGGATCCAAGATTCCAAGCCCTTAAATCCCTTGGCCTCTTTCAGGCCCATCATTTCCTCTCAAATGGCTAATGGCTCTCAAGATGACAAATTATGAAAACCCCCACTTTTTCAGACTTGTCCTTCTGGCACAAAGTCCAATTGTGTCATTTCCTCTGCTCCTTACCCACGACTGTGACCTTCAACCGAAGCCTTACTCTATTCGAAACTCTATGTTCAGTAGACTTCCCGATTCGCCACGCGATTTCACAGACCTACCAACTACTGGTCTCCCCACTCCCATCGTACAAACATTTGCAAATGGGAACATGACTTAGGGATGCGTTTTACAGATAAAAAGGTGTTGAGGAGCCTAGAATTCACATATAAAGCCCCTATCTGTTCTAAATACCAGAAATCAGGCTTTAAACTGTTGACGTGCTGGTTTTATACACCCTTCAAACTACACAAGATCTTCCTTCAGTATCCCAATTTATGCTGGCGAGGTAGGGAAGAGACTGGGTCTTTAACCCACATTTTCTGGTCTTGCCGCCTGCTGCAGGCTTTTTGAACCAGAGTGTGTCATATATCTCAGAAATTTATGGACCATGTGCTGCCCTGGGAACTTGCGTTCTACCTACTGCATCACCACAATTATCCTAGCAAGTCCTATAAACGCTCCATTTTACCAATATTGCTCACGGCAGTGAAAAGTTGCATCCCTCTTTTCTGGAAATAGAAAACAAGCTGGAAACAACCAGAGCTATTTGGTTGTGAAAAGCTATGGATATTAACGAGATGGAAGACATGGTCACCACGGAGAGAGGCATTCCTTAAGAAATGGAACTGCTGACACGAATTTCTATTCTCAGAGGAATACGCGGCTCTGCTGGTGTAGTTCACCGGAATGTCCTGCCCTGAGATCTGGCAATGCTAACTTGAGGTAGTTGGAGGGGGGAAGGTCATAAAAAGATTTCTCCTCTTCTGTAATCCTCTTCTGTTTTTTTGTCTTTCTTTCCATCTTTCTCTCCTCCCCTACTTTCCTTCAGACAGCCTTCCTTTTTCTTTTCATTCCTTTTTCTCACTGCTGTTTATAAAAGGAAAAAAAAATTGCAACATGGGGTGCAGTGACTTTTACTACACTAAGACACATGAAATGATAAAACGGGTGTCTTTTGTCTCTCCGGAGTTGGACCTGGGTGCCCGTCTCCTTAACCACTTGCCAGCTGCGTTATAACTGAATGATGGCTACAGCGCAGTTGTCCAGTTTTGGGAGGGCGTCATATGACATCCTCCCAGAACATGCCCGCCTGCGCGTCCCCAGCAGAGGGCACCCGACGATCTCCGTGATAGCTGTGTCCTATGAACACAGCTGATCACATGATGAGGTAATAGGCCAATCACAGTGGCCTTTTACCATGAGATCAGCTGTGTCCAATAGCACAATAGATCACAGAGTAAATATAGTTTCCGGTTATAGGCAGTACCTTCCTCACGCTGTCACAGCGTGAGGAAATAACTGCCGATAACCGGCAATTGTCACAGAACACATCGGCACTGATGATCAGTGCCTTGATGACCAGTGCCCAGCAGTGCCACCCATCAGTGCTGCCCAGCAGAGCTGCCCAGCAGTTGCGCCCGGCAGTGCCGCCCAGCAGTGCGATCAGTCAGTGCCGCTGGTTAGTGCTGTCAGTCAGTGCCACCCATCAGTGTCACCCTTCAGTGCCACCTCATCAGTCAGCCTATTAGTGCCACCTTATCAGTGCCCGTCAGTGCTGCCTATCAGTGCCCATCAGTGCCACCCATCAGTGCTGCCCAGCAGTGCCGCCTATCAGAGCCCATCATTGTTGCATATCAGTGCAGCATCATCAGTGTCACCTCATCAGTATCAGCTCATCAGTGCCACCTATCAGTGCTGTCTATCAGTGCCCATCAGTTCTACTTAAAAGTGCAGCCTCATCAACACACATCAGTGAAGGAGAAAAAGCTTAAGCTTAAGCTAAGAAGATACCTCAAGATTGTTTCATAACCTGGAATAAATCCACATTAGGGTTGATTTACTAAAGACAAACAGGCTGTTCACTTTGCAGGGGAAATGTCCCTTAG